GTAGTCTTATTAGCAATATTACCGGAGAAAAGAAAAGGAGCATTGAAATGATTTTCCACAATAATGAACAAGACATCGAACAACGATAGCAAATATTTTAACAAATAGTGGCTATTAGATTCAGATGTGAGATTTCCAATCACGTGTATTCATTTATGAAATACATAACAAGCTCCAAGCACAAGGCATATGAAAGAACGGAAGTAAGAACTTTTTCCAAAGCTACATTTTAGTAAAATGTAAGAACTCACAGTAAGAAGCTACATTGTAAAAAGTGTAAGAACTCACAGTAACTCTTTCCAATAGTAAAATGTAAAAACTCACATTAAACCTTGTAAACCTTGTAACACTTTCCAACAGTACTTACAGAAACAACAAATGATAATGTTATAATGCAAATCGCCAACCAGCCAAGAACAGTGATTAACAGTTTGCAGCAATAACGCATAGAAAGAAGAAAAATTGCAGCAGTAACGCTGAGAAAAAAGAAAAATTGCAGCATTAATGCAGATAAAGAAGAAAAACTGCAGCACTAACGCAGAGAAAGAAGAAAAATCACAGCAAACAGTGATTAACAGTTTGCAGCAATAACGTAGAGAAAGAAGAAAAATTGCAGCAATAATGCAGATAAAGCAGAAAAAACTGCAACAGTAACGTAGAGAAAGAAGAAAATTACAGCAGTAATGCAGATCGAAAGAAGAAAAAAATAGCAATGGACAAGAAGAAGAAGAAGAAGAAGAAGAAGAAGAAGAAGAAGAAAGAAGAAAGAAATATACATATCTGGAATTTTTCAGAGTTCCAATATTTAAGGAGTTACCTCTTTTTCTTGTTTGAACAGAAAGTCTTACAGTTATACAAGCCAAAGAAAATCACCATATTACTATTGTTGATACATTATTTATAACTGAAATAGTATGTAAACTTTTTTAGATAAAATATATAGTTGTTACCACCACTAAATGAAATAGATTTTTAGCATATCAAATCAACAGAAAACTAAAGAACAATAAAGAACACGAAGACAGACCTCCTTCGAGGTAGTGAACTGATTGATAGGTGGAGTCGGGATATTAGAGCGTGAATCACAGGAACAACTTCAAGAATTGTATTTCAAACTCTTCACATTCAGAATAGGTATTTCATGTTTTTTAACCAATAATTAGAAACCAAGGCATCAACGTATGTTTACAATTGGCATATACAACGATAAAGAGCCGAGCGATACAGAATAACAAAGAAGACATCGAGCATCGAACCTTGATAGCAAACATCGAGCATGGATTTCTAACACGAAATAAAAACCGACCAACAAAATCCCCAATTTTACAAACTAAAAATCTTAAACAAAATTCGAGCAAAACAACAATTTTTCATCAAAACAAATTACAAAAAGTATGTAGAATAATGGGTTTACAAAGAATATTACCAAAGAAGAAAGCAGATCGAAGAAGCTGCGAACAATTTCAATACTCAGCTAACAACCATACAAACATCGAACAGGGGAAAATACAAATAGCCAGTCGTCGGAGCAGTCAGTCGTCATTAGCCGGAGCAGCCAGTCGTCGGATTTTTCAAGGTTGAAAATTGAGAGAGATTTGGGGGTTTCAGATTTAGAGAAAATAGCGTCTGTTTTGAGGGTTTGTGGTTTTTCTATATTTTTTTAATTAAAATATAACTTAAACTAAGTTATTAAAATATTGGCGGGAGTAAATATGTAGGAGGGAAATTAAGGGGGAAAATAAATCGTTCCATTATACTTTTATTTCATAAAACCGTTCCCACAAATTACTTTATCGTGTTGCCTTTATAAACCGTCTCCATAACTAAACTTATGGTGACGGTTGTTATACTATTGGAACGGTTTTTCTCTAAAAGTGTCCCAAAAGCGTTTTGACTCTATTGGTACGATTAAAACCGTTCCAAAATGTTATTTATTGTAACAGTTGCATAACCGTTAATAAATAACTGTTCCAATATGACCATTTTCTAGTAGTGCCTCCTCGTTGGTCAAATCCTTGTCCAACTGAACGGTGCTAAAGTCTAACACGTGGGATGGATCCTGTGATACTTCCGAAGCATGAATACATGAAAGACTGGATGCACAGTTGATAAATCCGGCGGCAATGCAAGTCTGTAAGCCACATCTCCCACTCGATCAAGGATCTCAAAAGGCCCGATGAACCTCGGGTTTAGCTTGCCCTTCTTTCCAAATCTCATCACGCCCTTCATGGGCGACACCTAAAGCAACACTCGCTCCCCGACCATGAATGTCACGTCACGAACCTTACGGTCGGCATAACTCTTCTGCCTGGACTGAGCTGTACGAAACCTATCTTGAATGATCTTAACCTTTTCCATGGCATCCTGAACTAAATCAGTACCCAACAACTGAGCCTTTCCCGGCTCAAACCACCCAACCGGCGACCGACACCGCCTACCATATAATGCCTCATAAGGAGCCACCTGGATGCTCGACTGATAACTATTGTTGTAGGCAAACTATGCTAATGGCAAGAATTGATCCCAAGAACCTCCAAAGTTCATAACACATGCTCGGGGCATATCCTCCAAAATCTGAATAGTACGCTCGGACTGTCCANATATATATATATATATATGTATGTATATTACTTTACTACTATATATAAATGTGAAGTGGGTGTACGAACAAGGCAGTACAAAGCTGTACAAAATGCTGTATAGATTGTACTAAAATATTGGCCTAACTCACTAGTGAATAAACATGTGTAATACATGTGTAGCTCTCTACACAATAACAAATATTGGCATTATGATAAAAAAAATATAACTTAGTATTGCCTCGAATTTCAGTCCTCTTTTTGAAAGTTCATCTGTTTCTGCATCCGCCCTTCTCTTCCAAAAGATTTTCCTTTTCTCTTTTGTTTCTTTATCTGTGTCTCTCTGTATATGCTTGATTTGTGTGTTTTCCCTTTTCCTATTATGTGTTAATGCTTGATTTGATATTTGTGTGCATATTTGATTATGTATCTATGTATTTGTTTTTGTAAAATTAAGCTTTCGTTTTGGGTGTTCTCAAAATCCGGCAATGCAGAGAAGGGGGTAGGATTGAATGGTTCAAATAGACATTCCGATATTAATTTCCTCCTAGGGTAAGCATAATTTTTTTCATGTTCATAGAACCTCCAGCTTATATTCTTTAACTGTGCTTCATTTTTTCATTATTTTAATTCTAAAAGTTAAATTGTTTAATTTTAATTCTAAAAGTGAAATTGTTTAATTTTACTTTCGCTTTATAGGTTGATGAGCTATTCTTTTTTAATGTTGGATGATCTTGTGCTCCTTTTTGTGAAACAAGAAAAAATTCCAGGTGTTTGCTAAACTTTCTAAAGTGATAACAAAATAGGTACATAAATCATGATATATAGGAATATCCAGGTTTAATGCAATCGGTTATGTATAATGGGACTTTGATGGGTATATATTAGTTTTTTCTATTCTATTGTATATTCATATCAGTATTTGTCGCTAATTTATAAATGCATGCTTGGAAATTAATCCTACATTAATGATTTTGGACATTTGGTTGATACAAATATGATTTGCTTGGGTAACCAATTAACTTAATTTCTTTTTCGTTCCTCCTTAGTTATGAAGTATGTTCCCATTTCTTGGTACCGCAATCAAAAGGTAAAGCACTTGAGAGAAGAACCTACACATTATCAAGAAATTAATGTTCTTCTGTTCTATTAAAAATAAGTAAATAATGTGCTTAGGTTCCATTAAAAAAAAAATACTCCCTCCGTTACAATTTATGTGAACTTGTTTGACTGGGCACGAAGTTTAAGAAAAAATGAAGACTTTTGGAATTTGTGGTCCTAAACAAGTTAAAAAGGGACCCATAGTATTTGTGTGATTATAAAAGCTTTTCATTAAAGGTAGAATTATAAGTTTAAGCTAAATTGTTTTCAAATTTAAAAAGGAGTCATTCTTTTTGGAACGGACAACAAAGGAAATAGGTTCACATAAATTAAAGTAGAGGGAGTACAAGTTTTATAAAATAGTTGTGAAAGCAACTATTTTATAAAATAGTTGTGAAAGCAACTAGCACATGGTGCTTGATCTTGTTTGTCAAATCTAAGTGTGGCGATGAATAATTGAGTTTGATGGGAAATTTCTAATTGAAAAGACTTAAATGCTTTTCATGTTTAATTATTAGTTTTTTGGCTCTTAAGAAGGTGAAGTTGGAATTGTGAAATTCTGACTTTTTTTTCTTTTTTCGTTTCTTTATTGTGGCTACTTTGGATATTCTGTCATCCATAGGAATAGTTGTCACTGTCAAGTACACCGTATTTGATGATATCCTTGAAATGATCGAGCAATTTTTTTTTATCTATCGGGTGTTCTATAAGTTTTTATTTATCTATCAGGTGTTCTATAATATGTCATCTATTATTCAGGAATCCAAAATGTACATTATAGTTCTACTTAAAAGAATAGGTACATAATATATTTGTTATATTTGCAGTTGTATGTAAAAAACATGTTGAAATGTACCATGTCCGCTTGCATGTGTTTTCTATTGCACTACTGCTACTTCTGTCTAATTTTGTGTTAACAAGAAAAATTTGGTATGACTTTTAATTATTCAAAGTTATATCTCGATTTGCTTGCGTGTATATTTGAACTGCTGGGTGACTAAGATTAGGAAGCCTAGAAAGTGGAATAACAATAGTACAAAAAATCTTAGGATTACTATCATTAGACTCCCTTATGGATTGCGAGGTTGACCATAATCTTGAAGGAATATAATAAATGTTAACAGAAGGCTAACATACATTAATTATCAGATATCTGGCTTGGTTTTAAGATTGAGTCCTGTTGCGGGAGGCTTGTAATATATTGGGACTTGTATTATAGCAGCTCTATCGATATTAGTTGCAAAAGAAGCACCAGAATTTTTGCAATTTGGCACAACACTATAGAGTTATACTACTGCATACAATAGGTTGGAGTGAAGATCATTTCAAGCTCACATGTAATTTCATTAATTTCAGTATGCAATCTATCAATATCCTCTCGCCTTACAACCTTAGCACATATGGCTCTAAAGAAGTTTCCCAACCTAATCAATGCCAAAGAAATATTCTTGGGTAATGATTTTCTAACAACAACTTGGAGCAAGTAATGCATTATAAAATGAGCATCATGACTCTTGTACCCCGATATTTTCATCTCTTTCTCATGCACACAACGTGATATATTCGAGGCACAGCCTTTTGGCAATTTGCCATTTTAAAGACGGTGCAAAATGGCCTCTTCTCTTCTGGATTCATGTAGAAACAAGCTTTAGCCAATGAAATTGTTCCACTTACAACATCTTGTATTGGTGGAAGCTCTTTTCGTATTCCCATTTCTTGCAAATCGTAACGAGAATTTACATGATCTTTTGACTTTTCATCTATCTCCAATAATGTCCCAAGAATACTATCACATATATTTTTCTCAATGTGCATCGAATCAAGATTGTGCCTCAATTTGTTAGTTTCCCAGTATGGTAGTTCAAAGAAGATGAATCTTTTCTTCCATGGACACTTGTTATCCCGAGACCTTTTCCTTTGGCCATTTCCAAAGACATTCTTGAATTCACGCAACTCTTCGAGGACTTCTATACCCGACAAAGGAGTAGGTGCAAGTCTATGATCCTCCTTACCATCAAATGATTTTTTATCTCTTCGAAACGGATGTTTAGGAGGCAAAAATGCCCCGATGACCCATGTAGCACATCTTATGACTATGCTTGAGATATTGAGAACATGTGCCATAATTATAAGTGGGGCATGTAAATTTTCCCTTTGTACTCCATCCAGAAAGCATTGCTAGTGCAGGAAAATCACTAATTGTCCACATTAACGCTGGACGCATTTGAAACACCTGGTTGGATTCGGCGTCAAATGTTTCTACACCGAATTCCCATAGTTCCTTCAATTCAAGAATTAGTGGTTGTAGATACACATCTATATCATTTCCCGGAGATGACGGACCTGGGATGATCATTGACAACATTATATACTCTGGCTTCATGCAAATCCAAGGCGATAGATTATAGTTCATTAACATAACAGGCCATGTGCTATGGGAAATGCTCATTGTTCGAAACGGGTTGAAACCATCACTTGAAAGACCCAATCTAACATTGCGAGGGTCGCTAGAAAATTCAGGGTGCAAGGAGTCGAATTCCTTCCGAGCATCACCATCAGTAGGATGTCTTATATTTCCATCATTCGGTCATTCAGTGGCATGCCATCTCATAGCTTCAGCTGTTTCGGGACACATGAATATCCTCTGAAGCCGAGGCTTTAATGGAAAGTACCTTAAAACTTTTGCAAGGGTTTTGGTCTTTTTATTAGTCAAGACATTAACAATATTCTTTCATCTAGAAGACCCACACACAGAACAAGTATCTACATTTACATTGTCATTCCAAAATAACATGCAATCATTAGGACATGCATGTATTTTTTTCATAATGAAGACCCAAATCTTTTATCATGCTTGTTGCCTTGTAGAAAGACTCGGGTAGCTGAGCAAATGGAAATGCCTCTTTTAACAACTCCAACAAGTCTGTGAATGGCACATTACTCATCCCATGAATGCATTTAAACAAGTACAACCGAATCGTAAAACCTAATTTGTAGAATTCTCACACCCTGGATATAATTCTTCTTTCCCTTCTTCTACTAATTTAAAACATCTTTTTGCATCTTCTGATAGTCCATCCCTCACTCCTTCATGTCCCAAATCATCCTCGACACTTCGAAATGTATCATGAAGTAATCCATCAATATCGTCATACATGTCAGAACCTTCATCATTACTGCTTGGACATCGAGTCTTTCTCGAGGAAAATCCTTCCCCGTAGAAAACCCATTTGATGTATCTATGAACAAAACCATTAACAATCAATTGGTCTTCCACCACATTCCTATGATGCCAAAAACAATTAGCGCACACTTTACAAGGGCATAATATTTGATTTCCTTGGGAAGCTCGTTCAAATGCTTTATCAAAAAATTTATTCACTCCTTGTATGTAGTCATCAGTTGACCTTCAAAGGCCCATCCACCTTTTATCTCCATTATCCATTAAATTAATTTTATCCTACATAACACCAAAACAACTAGTATAAAATTGGTTTATATACTCTTAATAAAAAATCAAATAATAAGAAAGATTGAAAAAGTCACTTATTATCAAAATTATATGAATTTCACTGTTGCAAAATTTAACAGTCACCAAAACCATCACATAAACAGTTACGTAAGGCAAATCTCATGGTTTCTAACACGAAATTTAAATTCCACCAACTAAACCGCCAATTTTGCAAACCAAAATTTACAAAATGTATCATATAATACTAACAACAGAAAGCAAAATAGTAGGCTTATTAGCAATATTACCGGAGAAAAGAAAAGGAGCATCGAAATGATTTTCCACAATAACGAACAAGACATCGAACAACGATAGCAAATATTTTAACAAATAGTGGCTATTAGATTCAGATGTGAGATTTCCAATCACGTGTATTCATTTATGAAATACATAACAAGCTCCAAGCACAAGGCATATGAAAGAACGGAAGTAAGAACTTTTTCCAAAGCTACATTTTAGTAAAATGTAAGAACTCACAGTAAGAAGCTACATTGTATAAAGTGTAAGAACTCACAGTAACTCTTTCCAATAGTAAAATGTAAAAACTCACATTAAACCTTGTAACACCTTGTAAACCTTGTAACACTTTCCAACAGTACTTACAGAAACAACAAATGATAATGTTATAATGCAAATCGGCAACCAGCCAAGAACAGTGATTAACAATTTGCAGCAATAACGCATAGAAAGAAGAAAAATTGCAGCAGTAACGCTGAGAAAAAAGAAAAATTGCAGCACTAATGCAGATAAAGAAGAAAAACTGCAGCACTAATGCAGAGAAAGTAGAAAAATCACAGCAAACAGTGATTAACATTTTGCAGCAATAACGTAGAGAAAGAAGAAAAATTGCAGCAATAATGCAGATAAAGAAGAAAAACTGCAGCAGTAACGTAGAGAAAGAAGAAAATTACAGCAGTAATGCAGATCGAAAGATGAAAAAAATAGCAATGGCCAAGAAGAAGAAGAAGAAAGAAGAAGAAAGAAATATACATATCTGGAATTTTTCAGAGTTCCAATATTTAAGGAGTTACCTCTTTTTCTTTTTTGAACAGAAAGTCTTACAGTTATACAAGCCAAAGAAAATCACCATATTACTATTGTTGATACATTATTTATAACTGAAATAGTATGTAAACTTTTTTAGATAAAATATATAGTTGTTACCACCACTAAATGAAATAGATTTTTAGCATATCAAATCAACAGAAAACTAAAGAACAATAAAGAACACGAAGACAGACCTCTTTCGATGTAGTGAACTGATTGATAGGTGGAGTCGGGATATTAGAGCGTGAATCACAGGAACAATTTCAAGAATTGTATTTCAAACTCTTCACATTCAGAATAGGTATTTCATGTTTTTTAACCAATAATTAGAAACCAAGGCATCAACGTATGTTTACAATTGGCTTATACAACGATAAAGAGCCTAGCGATACAAAATAACAAAGAAGACATCGAGCATCGAACATTGATAGCAAACATCGAGCATGGATTTCTAACACGAAATAAAAACCCACCAACAAAATCCCCAATTTTACAAACTAAAAATCTTAAACAAAATTCGAGCAAAACAACAATTTTTTAGCAAAACAAATTACAAAAAGTATGTAGAATAATGGGTTTACAAAGAATATTACCAAAGAAGAAAGCAGATCGAAGAAGCTGCGAACAATTTCAATACTCAGCTAACAACCATACAAATATCGAACAGGGGAAAATACCAATAGCCAGTCGTCGGAGCAGTCAGTCGTCATTAGCCGGAGCAGGTCGTCATTCGCCGGAGCAGCCAGTCGTCGGATTTTCAAGGTTGAAAATTGAGAGAGATTTGGGGGGTTTCAGATTTAGAGAAAATAGCGTCTGTTTTGAGGGTTTGTGGGTTTTCTATATTTTTTTAATTAAAATATAACTTAAACTAAGTTATTAAAATATTGGCGGGGAGTAAATATGTAGGAGGGAAATTAAGGGGGAAAAATAAACCGTTCCATTATACTTTTATTTCATAAACCGTTCCCACAAATTACTTTATCGTGTTGCCTTTATAAACCGTCTCCATAGCTAAACTTATGGTGACGGTTGTTATACTATTGGAACGGTTTTTCTCTAGAAGTGTCCCAAAAGCATTTTGACTCTATTGGTACGATTAAAACCGTTCCAAAATGTTATTTATTGTAACAGTTGTATAACCGTTACTAAATAACTGTTCCAATAGGACCATTTTCTAGTAGTGCCTCCTCGTTGGTCAAATCCTTGTCCAACTGAACGGTGCTAAAGTCTAACACGTGGGATGGATCCTGTGATACTTCCGAAGCATGGATACATGAAAGACTGGATGCACAGTTGATAAATCCGGCGGCAATGCAAGTCTGTAAGCCACATCTCCCACTCGATCAAGGATCTCAAAAGGCCCGATGAACCTCGGGCTTAGCTTGCCCTTCTTTCCAAATCTCATCACGCCCTTCATGGGCGACACCTAAAGCAACACTCGCTCCCCGACCATGAATGCCATGTCACGAACCTTACAGTCGACATAACTCTTCTGCCTTGACTGAGCTGTACGAAACCTATCTTGAATGATCTTAACCTTTTCCAAGGCATCCTGAACTAAATCTGTACCTAACAACTGAGCCTTTCCCGACTCAAACCACCCAACCGGCGACCGACACCGCCTACCATATAATGCCTCATAAGGAGCCATCTGGATGCTCGACTGATAACTATTGTTGTAGGCAAACTATGCTAATAGCAAGAATTGATCCCAAGAACCTCCAAATTTCATAACACATGCTCGGAGCATATCCTCCAAAATCTGAATAGTACGCTCGGACTGTCCGTNATATATATGTATATTACTTTACTACTATATATAAATGTGAAGTGGGTGTACGAACAAGGCAGTATAAAGCTGTACAAAATGTTGTATAGATTGTACTAAAATATTGGCCTAACTCACTGGTGAATAAACATGTGTAATACACGTGTAACTCTCTACAAAATAACAAATATTGGCATTATGATAAAAAAAATATAACTCAGTACTGCCTCGAATTTCAGTCCTCTTTTTGAAAGTTCCTCTGTTTCTGCATCCGCCCTTCTCTTCCAAAAGATTTTCCTTTTCTCTTTTGTTTCTTTATCTGTGTCTCTCTGTATATGCTTGATTTGTGTGTTTTCCCTTTTCCTATTATGTGTTAATGCTTGATTTGATTTTTGTGTACATATTTTATTATGTATCTATGTATTTGTTTTTGTAAAATTAAGCTTTCGTTTTGGGTGTTCTCAAAATCCGGCAATGCAGAGAAGGGGGTAGGATTGAATGGTTCAAATAGACATTCCGATATTAATTTCCTCCTAGGGTAAGCATAATTTTTTTCATGTTCATAGAACCTCCAGCTTATATTCTTTAACTGTGCTTCATTTTTCATTATTTTAATTCTAAAAGTTAAATTGTTTAATTTTAATTCTAAAAGTGAAATTGTTTAATTTTACTTTCGCTTTATAGGTCGATGAGCTATTCATTTTTAATGCTGGATGATCTTGTGCTCCTTTTTGTGAAACAAGAAAAAATTCCAGGTGTTTGCTAAACTTTCTAAAGTGATAACAAAATAGGTACATAAATCATGATATATAGGAATATCCAGGTTTAATGCAATCGGTTATGTATAATGGGACTTTGATGGGTATATATTAGTTTTTTCTATTCTATTGTATATTCATATCAGTATTTGTCGCTAATTTATAAATGCATGCTTGGAAATTAATCCTACATTAATGATTTTGGACATTTGGTTGATACAAATATGATTTGCTTGGGTAACCAATTAACTTAATTTCTTTTTCGTTCCTCCTTAGTTATGAAGTATGTTCCCATTTCTTGGTACCGCAATCAAAAGGTAAAGCACTTGAGAGAAGAACCTACACATTATCAAGAAATTAATGTGCTTCTGTTCCATTAAAAATAAGTAAATAATGTGCTTAGGTTCCATTAAAAAAAAATACTCCCTCCGTTCCAATTTATGTGAACCTGTTTGACTGGGCACGAAGTTTAAGAAAAAATGAAGACTTTTGGAATTTGTGGTCCTAAACAAGTTAAAAAGGGACCCATAGTATTTGTGTGGTTATAAAAGTTTTTCATTAAGGGTAGAATTGTAAGTTTAAGCTAAATTGTTTCCAAATTTAAAAATGGGTCATTCTTTTTGGAACGGACAAAAAAGGAAATAGGTTCACATAAATTAAAATGGAGGGAGTACAAGTTTTATAAAATAGTTGTGAAAGCAACTAGCTCAAACATGGTGCTTGATCTTGTTTGTCAAATCTGAGTGTGGCGATGAATAATTGAGTTTGATGGGCAATTTCAGATTGAAAAGATTTAAATGCTTTTCATGTTTAATTATTAGTTTTTTGGCTCTTAAGAAGGTGAAGTTGGAATTGTGAAATTCTGACCTTTTTTTTTCTTTTTTCGTTTCTTTATTGTGGCTACTTTGGATATTCTGTCATCCATATGAATAGTTGTCACTGTCAAGTACACCCTATTTGATGATATACTTGAAATGATCGAGCAATTTTTATTTATCTATGGGTGTTCTATAAGTTTTTATTTATCTATCAGGTGTTCTATAATATGTCATCTATTATTCAGGAATCCAAAATGTACATTATACTTCTACTTAAAAGAATAGGTACATAATATATTTATTATATTTGCAGTTGTATATAAGAAACATGTTGAAATGTACCATGTCCGCTTGCATGTGTTTTCTATTGCACTACTGCTACTTCTGTCTAATTTTGTGTTAACAAGAAAAATTTGGTATGACTTTTAATTATTCAAAGTTATATCTCGATTTGCTTGCGTGTATATTTGAACTGCTGGGTGACTAAGATTAGGAAGCCTAGAAAGTGGAATAAAATAGTACAAAAAATCTTAGGATTACTATCATTAGACTCCCTTATGGATTGCGAGGTTGACCATAATCTTGAAGGAATATAATAAATGTTAACAGAAGGCTAACATACATTAATTATCAGATATCTGGCTTGGTTTTAAGATTGAGTTCTGTTGCGGGAGGCTTGTAAAATATTGGGACTTGTATTATAGCAGCTCTATCGATATTAGTTGGCACAATAGTTAGATCGCCAACCTCAACTGATTGGGAAGTGGTAAGGATAAATTTTATATCTAGCTATATACCTATTTATACTTAGTAGTAATAAGTTTACTGAATGACATCTCTTGGAAACAAATGGAGTTAAGTAGTTTACTGTCTGGGCGCAAGGAATATCAAGGGGTTAAATGAATCTAACTTTTCAAACGACAACCTCTTTTTGGTTCAAGACGTATCTCACCAATTTTCTGTCAGACACGGTCTGTATTTGATTTGGTATCTTATTCCTAGAAATAAAATGTACGTCCTGTCATGGAGCGTAGATGTATCAAACCAATGATGTGATATAGGGACTTCTATACGAGGGATTATGAATGGTATTTGCACATATGTATACCTTATTGGTTCATAATTATGAAAGCAACAATGCATCATTCACTGAAGTAACTTACCATGTTGAAAAGCCGTTCTCGTTAGGTAGCTCCCTTGTGTGAAGCCAATAAAAGAAATGTGTATTCAGAGTGCATATTAACTCAAGACATATCTACCACACTGTGCTAAACGAGATCTAGTCCAGTTATCATAATCGTGTATGGAGAGTGCATGAGTATCTGCCGCTTGGCTTGTACCTTGTAGTGGAAGTTCTCTTGAGGTTGAGGTGTGTTAAAGCCATCTCTTCTTTCTTTTTGGCATGATCCAAGTTATACAGAAGAAACGAGCATATGCAAAGTTTTCATAAACGGCTCTATTCATATAAATATTNATATATATGGGAAAAATGTTACGGCGTTATATATGCACTAACACCTAATCAACTGGTATACATTGATGATTTTGCCCATAGTGGTACCAGATGACGTTATATATGCGTATATATGTAAATATATGTATATGAGATATGGGAAAAAGGTTACGGTATTATATACGCACAACTACCTGATCTGCTGGTATACGTTGATGATTTTGCCCATAGTGGCCGAGATGATACGATGGGATACCCTCAGAGGCTTGATGATGTTATGAGCACATGTACCTATGCACGATATGATATTCATACCCATATGCATGACACTATAATTATTTCATGATTTACAGAGTTATCCAGACTTACAGGTTGATTCTTATATGTCTTTAAATAAATATTAACTTATTGTTATGTTTCAGTTCTACTTTACATACTCAGTATATTATTCGTACTAACGTCCTTTTATTGGGGACACTGGATTCATGCTTGCAGGTATAGACCATCAGTTTGACGAGCCCTCATAGTAGACGGAATTGGCATTCAGCGAAGGATCGGTAAGACTCCATCTCATTTGGAGTGCAGCCGTGTCTATAAGATATCGTGCCAGAGTTTTGCTACAGACTTATGGGTAGGCCGGTATCCTGTCCCATTTTATGTCAAATAATCTTAGAGGCTTTGTAGACATAAGTTTATTATGTACAGTATGTCAGAGGCCTTGACGACCCATATGAATTCATGTTTTCTGAACGATGGTTAATTGATATAACATTTGTCCACTTACAATTGTACATTACTAGTTGTGGCCATATTGGCCATGATAGTCACAAAAGGAAGGGATAAGTTACAGAGTGGTTCGCTCGGGCCAGTGCGACACCGGGTGCTAGCCACGCCTCCCAAGGTTGGGGCGTGACACACGTACCTAACTCACACTGTACTGCCCTCCAGAAATGCGAGGTAAACTACATACCTCGGTAATAAATGATAGACATGGGCACACCATGAAGACGAACAATCTCACGGATACAAATCTCTGCCAACCGCTCTGAGGAATAGGAA